TTATTTTGATCCGAACCACGTTAAATCTTGTGTTCTTTCTTTTACGTTTCCGCTAACAAAAGCATTGGGTTATAATATCTCACTAACATTTTCTTCTAAAATTCAATTTCTGCAAAATGTGCTAAATGACTGTTATAAAGACATGCCACCAAACATATGCAGTAACTCATTACATACCAGCGTACAGATTCTATGATCTTGCACATACGCCTCTATATTGGTAAATGTTATACTACACAACAATGCAGTTGCCTTGTAACTACCACAAGACTATGTTTTTGCTCTTTAGGGGGGTCTTGAAACTTTTTGTACTCTCTTAGCACAATCACAATTTTTGTGATAAGGGTTACTTTATTTTATTTACAAAATATGTTACCTTCTCAAAAAAAAAAAAAAAAAAAAAAANAAAAAAAAAAAAAAAAAAAAAAAAAAAAAAAAAAAAGATACAGAACAATGCAGTCACTACATGATAATATCTTTTATTTTTCTTCTATTGGTAAGTACAGGTTGAGACAATAGGTTAACTAAATAGTCAATCAATTCGAAGATTATTAAGCATTGCTGATGCACACCAAAATCTAAGACAGTTTAGGCAAATTGAGAACTCAAACCTTGATACAAACTTAAGTGGAAAATGAACAATCATATCATATCATATCATATATATATATATATATATATATATATATATATATATATATATATATTATACTAAAAGTAGGAACCTTTAAATGTCAAACTTGAATTACCAAATTACCCATTAAAACTTGAGTGACAAGTTTTGCCCTTTTCTAAAACACTATTCCTAATTTCCTATTATAGTTTTGTGCCAAAAAGTAAATTACCTTCAACGAATCATAAATGTGTACTACAGTCTACAATAAACCAAGTAAATGAAAAGACAATTCCGTAAAGATAGGTACAATGAACTGAGTAAATCATCATAAAGTTGTAACTGCTGCACCCTTCTAATTTCTTGATAAAGTTGTACTATTACAGTCTTTCATTTCCTTAGACTTTTTTCCATGCAATCTCTCTAAAATCAGGTACTATTTCTTTTCTGTTACTTTTAGGAGTGTTTTGCTAATGCCATACCTTTTTTCTTTCATTTATTCGTTCTTTCCAGCCATTTTTTTATACAGCTGTTGGTAAGTGTATTCTTAATTGATTATGTTATATGTAATTTACTCAAACAATCTGTAACTTTCCTTTTTAATTTTCAATGAGTCTTTCATTTAGTGAGTTATTTTCTTTTTCTATGTTCACTTTTTTCTCTTTTCTAGATGCTGAGTATTTTTGTCTATTTTATTGAACATTACGTGTTTACTCTTGGAAAAGGAGAAGCTTCAACACTAACGATGATAAAACTAGCTAAACTACAGGTAGCAACACATATATTTTTGTCAAATATATGTTATCTTTGATTTTCTCCTATCGGTTTTTCCTGCTGTAATAGATCTTCAGTTTCCTCTTATTAGAATTCACTCCTTATTTTTTCTTTGTTTTCTGGCCTTCAAAATGATTGTTGAAGGTGCAGACTTAAAATGGAGACAAATGGTGTTATTTTTTTTTTTCAAAATCCATTTTTTTTAAACATTGATTTTATTTGGATTTGAACCCCACGAGAAATTAGATTAGGTGTTCCACGTTCCTTTGATATTGTATATTGACGTCTTAAATATACAAAGACGAAATACCTCCAAAAGCTTTGCGTTTACATCTCTCTCAAGGCTCTTTTTTCTTTTATACTACTTATGCCCTATATTGATGGATTAGTCTAAGTGTCACATAACAATTCTGTTGGTTTGTGTGTATATGTATATATCATATCCAACTAACTAAATTTATCTGTTCAAATTCGTAGTTTGAACAATATCTAATCATTTTTGTATCCAACAATCAAGGTTGATCTTATCTTTTTCCCTTTTCAATTTAGTGCAACTTATCACACACATATTTAATATTATTTACATTTTTTTTTAAAGTATACTCATCAACATGGGATACACGTGCAACGCACGCGTCCAGAAACTAGTTTATAGAAAATAGAGGAAGCCTCAGTTAAAGACCTCCCAAGTAGTTCACAGTCGCTCCTTTTTGTCCAAAGTTTAGAGTTGCTCGTTATTTATCAAAATATTTGTTGATGGATTTGACTTTTAAATAACTTTGTTTCTTTTTTTTTCAATTTTTTTTTTTGAACGTTTTAACATTAGTAGATGACAGGGGTTATCATAGTATGGCTTTCTCTTCACAATTTACGTACCCCATGTCTAGTTGGTGACAACTGAACTACAATACGAGAAGATCTACTATGGAGCCAGATATATTGTTCATACATTTAGGTTGAAAAGCGCAGTTCCTGATGGGCTTCAAATTAACCTAGGCAGGGATCGATATCCTGAGTATCAAGCAACAGTAGGACAGCTAAAATTTCAGCAATTTCACATGGGATCAGAAAAGGCTGAAATGCATAGACATATGCTATTTTCAGCATGCTGCAAAGGCTTAGCCCATTAGTTCTACCGACAATAGCCAAACATAGAAGCTTCTGCAAACTGAATCTCCAAAGAGCGAAACGGCTATTTTGCAGCCAAAAAAGAAAGAAAGCCAAGAGAGAGAGATGCCCCATTTAACCTTTTGTATCTTTATTAAAGTAAGGTTCCTCTTCTTCATATTTAGCATCAAGAAAGTGCCGGTTAAATATAAAGAAGGTACAAAAATATTCTCTATTAGCTATGTATGTAGGGAACTAACAAAAATAGCAAAATGTCTAAATTATTTACAAAGATCTCCTACACCCTTCAAAACATAGATTGATCCCTCTCTCTAGATTCTCCTTCTCTACCAATTGCAAAAAGATTGCTTCAAGGTCTTAGGCATCACTGATTTGACTTCACATACGTCCAAAAATATACTCCAAAATTCTGTTGCTAAAGGACAATGCAGAAACAAATGTTCTGCATCTTCCAATTTCTTTTCACACATAAAGCATCCACTACATATGTGAACCCCATTCTCATCAAATTTATCTAGTGTAAGGCAGGCTTCCTGTACCAAAATCCACACTAAGTATGCAACTTTAGGAAGTAAATCATTTGCTATTGTCAATCCTTACTGTTGCAACTTGGAAGTCTGTTGCAAACTGTATCACAACATCAGCTATTCTTAAGGACTCTGCCACTTCCGTTGACAATTAACTTGTCGAGCTACACTCTTTTAGCCCAGTTACTCCGTTATGACACTTCCATAATAATATCAATCGCCTAATCTGTCATACTTTCAATACGAACAACTAACCTGTCATACTTCGATTAGAGGGGTTATACAAATTTGGGCTAATATTGACAGAACGAGAGATATTTAAAGTTTACTAAGCCGTCATCTTTTCCCGATCGAGGGTTCAAGTTGGATGAGTGTTTACGCTCTATATCAGCAAATCTAGTGTTGTAACTGTAAAATGGTGAAATGAGAGGGCTTATTGTAACAGAAAGCAGTCGTCTATTGCACATTGGTTAGGAATCAGTTCTCAATTTCAGTTGGCCAATCACTCTTACCAACTTCATATGATCGTATCCCCAATTATCTAAGAATTCCAACTTGCAAAAAAAAAAAAATCCAACTTGAAAAAAAAAAAAAAAAAAAAGTTACTAAAACCTGTAATTGTACATCTATAAGGATGCAAAATTAAACAAGAGCTAAGTAATTTCATACCAGTAGAAGAAAGGGCAGCTTCAGAAACAGAAATACCACGGCATGATTTCACTGGGTATATGAATATTGATTTAACTTGTGCACTTCTTACTTCTGCCATATCAACAAAGAAAACAACTACTCTCTCTTTCTTCACTCTTCACTTAATAAATGAATTTTCTCCCTTAGCAACGTGTTCTGGTCCATTTATCCTATCACTATTGTGGGCCAAACCATTTTCAGCTGATATGGCTCCTTCTCAGCTCCTTTGGCTTCATTCCTTTGAGATTTTTTAATCTTTTTTTGGGTCTTCTAAATCAAGTGAAATGGACCTCTTTTATTACTATACTAGTATGGTTTGGACAATATTAGAGTTGAAATGAAAAAAGAATTTTCATGTTAATATCATAATGTTTGTTAAAGTTAAAATTGTATTTCAACATACCTTTATAAGAATTAAAGGTTCATAAGTAACACTTACAAACCATTATTTGTATAGATTGGTAATCATTGACTAAGTTGTGACACCGTGGTGTTGTTTTTTAGGAGTGTTTGACCAATGTTATTTCTTATCTTTGAGGGTAGGTCTATTTTGGTGCCTCAAATGTAAGTCCGAGCATATTTAGTCCCTTAAGTATCCTAAAGTGGATGATGATCTTTAGTCTCACTAACATGATGTGTTCAAAAACTAACGGTGTTACCCAAATTATCACTTTAATTCCTCATTTTAAGATAATGTTTTCTAAAATTTTGACATTGAAAATATCCTCTTTTGTGCCAGTTTCAATGAGAAAATGATATTGTATAACCGTTGTAAAAATAATAGCCGAAAAAATGATAAAATCTATATATATATTAAAGGTGCTCCACTTTAGCATACTTAAGGGACTAATAGCCCATTTGGCCAAGCTGCAAAAATCAGTTTATTTTAATAAGTGCTTTTTTTCAAAAGTGTTTTTCTCAAAAGTACTTTTAATGAGAAGCAGCTTGTGTTTGGCTAATTAGTTTGAAAAGCAATTTTGAGCAGCAATTAGTATTTGGCCAAGCTTTAAAAAACTGCTTCTAAGTGTATTTTTCTCAAAAGTGCTTCTCAAAAAAGTGCTTTTGGAGAGAAACTACTTTTTTCTGCTTCTCCTCAAAAGCATTTTTTTCCTTACAAAAGCTTTGATCAAACACCTCAATTTTTGGTCAAAAGTGCTTTTGGCCAAAAAAACACTTGGCCAAAAATAAGCTTGGCCAAAAGTGCTTTTGGCCAAAAAAAAAACATTTTTGGCCAAAAATAAGCTTGGTCAAACAGGCTATAAATATGCTCAGGATCATATTTTAAAGACCAAAATAGACCTACCTCAAAGATAAGGGACAATATTGGCCAAAAACTCTATTTTTTAGATTTGGACTTACAGTATGTAAAATCTTACTAAACTAGCATATCGTACAATTCTGACATATTATTCTAGATTCGTGAGTACAATTCTAGATTCCACCAATTGTCTGGTGTTTGATACTTGACTTGGACTAATTCATACTCGTGTGGCATAAATGAGGAAACACTCGTTTTCAAAAAAAAATCCATTTCAAGGGCTCGAATGCAACGCTTGAGATTAAGAACGGAAGGAACCTATTGATATGACCACAACATTTAGGTCCTTTTTCGAATCATTAAGTGATTATTCTAATAAGAATGCTTTCAAGAAGCATATGAACTCATAATCGAAGAGCAGAATTTCCTCTTCACGTTAATCATCTAACTTTTGGGAATTATGAGCAATCCTCTTAAAGAGAAATTGGAAGGAGTACTGTCAACTCCAAATCCCTGTTGTAAAATTCATGTCAATGAAAAAATCTTGAGGCACCCCTTTTCAGTTAAGGTGAGAAATTACAAAAGCAAAGAATTCTAAATTTAGACAAGAAAAGAAAAGGCAGAACTAAATACAAGGCCGTGTTATTCTAATAGATCTCAACTTGACGCATGAATGTGTAGTCTTCAGCAAGTTACAATCCTATTTTCTTCTCCACCTTCTGGATTTGGTTAAGGAATATCCACGTCATCTGCACAGAGAATTCGAAGAGAAAATGTCCCAAATTTATTCGAGGCATAATCAAAAGTTGAATGCTCAGTTGGACACAGAGAAAACATACCATGACATGAGGCGCAATCCTAACACAATATACTGGAAATCCAGTGTAGAATTTGAAGGGGCCTCCTGATTTCAAAGTTTTCATGGCACAATCGAATGAACCGGTGTAGGGATATTTCCCTTGAGCATCTGGCTGCATTTTCTGAATCTGGGTTTTGACATAATCAAATGGTAAACTGCAAGCAGCAGCAAAGAATCCCGAAACACTGCTGGCTCCTGTATTAGGAAAGAGGAAAGTACTATTGAACTCTAATTCTTTAACTCTGAAATTACTGCACGACTATGCATATATTATTATTATTCACCATCTAACTCTATATTATTTTATTACAGGCCATATACCTATATACTATTAACCACCACGAGATCAATAAGGCATGCTAAAACATGCAATATTAAACGTGAACCTGTCAAATTTCTGACATTTAAGGCAGTCAAGGTCCGAGAATTCTGACATCTAAAGCAGTGAAGGTCAAATGCAAAAAGGAGAATACAAAGAGAAACAAATGCAACAAGCAGAGAAAATTCTTACATTACAATCCCTGTAACACAATCCCTACATTACTATAATCTCTGCATCACGAGCTGATCATTACTAATCCTTGCATAACTTGCTTCGAAACCAAATGACCCCTTAGAAAATTCCCCGAGACACTTTTCCTATTCCCAAGCCTAATTTCTTCCTATTTTGCAGAATCCTACACAAGCGCAAGTTCCTAAAGAAGAAATACAGCATCCAAAAGCAGATGAATACAGCCGCCTTTACTGTCAGACACGCAACTTTAAACACTCACAGGCATAGCTCGGCATTTAACATTCTACATAGCTAACCAGCATTCCAGACCCTCTAATTCCTATCAATATACTGAGTCAGCACCTTGACTTATTTTTACATATAAAAAACTTTAGCAAAATAGTACTTCCTCCGTCCCAATTTACATGGCACCGTTCGGATTCCGAGAGTCAAACAAGTATTTCTTTGATCGTGCTTTTTACATATGCCTTTTAAATATTTTGAATTGTTAATTATTGTGATTTATAATACTTTTTACTTAGTTTCCAAATATGTAAATTTTATTTCAAAAAACTTAAAGATTCGAGGTCCGAATTCACGATAAAAATTAAAAAGTTTGATTCTCGAAATCCAAACAGTGCCACATAAATTGGGACAAAGAGAATAATAGATATTAAAGGTTCTGCTAAGACCGCAATCTTTATCCTCATACTACTAATTGCAATAAAACAAAATTAAGATCCAAGAACACTTTATGTCCAAGGCCATGTAAAAAAAAGGGACGGTTTCCCAATGAATATAATAATTTTCCCTGGATTGAGTTCGCATATTTAATTGCAGTCAATCTACAAAATTTGTTACTTCTCAACAAGCAACAGTCGACCAAATTACGGCGCAGGCTTGAAGAAAAAAAGGCTGACATCAAGATGCTGAGAAGCATCTATTAATAAAGTTATCATACCTACAACTGTAGCAGCCTCCCCCATGCCGAGATTGTCCTTAAAGAACTCAACACTCTGGTCATAAGAGGCAAGCATTCCCATGTTCAATGCCATTGCCCTCACTACTGTAGGACCAGCACCTTTCCAAAGGGATAAAACTCCTTCATCAGCCACAATGCGGTAGAGTGCATGAAACGCATTTGTGTAGTTACGTCTCTGGGCTACAGGTAAAGTAGCATCAGCTTGCATACGGATTAGAGCTAAATCTGCTGGACTACCAAAACATGCCCCAATTGCTCCGGCAGTCAGACCACACAAAGCCTTTTGGTATAGAGGTAAGGGCTTTCCATCATTCGCCTCAATAGCCTTGTTCGTCAAAACTCTAGCACCAAAAAAGCTTGAAGGTTAGTCCCATTTTTTTCTTTTCAATAGAAAAGAACTACTAAATAAGCAAAAAATATGACACCAATATGTCACCAGTCTATCCAAATGATTAAAGCACTCTGTCCAACAATGTATGGCGAGGTTCAAGGTAAATTCGGTCATCGATTTTCTATTTCTTTTGACACAAAAAATTTGCACATTTAGAAACTAAATGAAAGTACATAGTACTATAAATAACAATGTTTAGTAGTTAACTTTAACAAGAGTGCAGATTTCGTGATTTCATTGATCATTTTTGATCCATATGCAGGACGAATGATGAGACTACATTATAAAAGCTCACGATTAACTGGCCTAAATAATCAAGTAGCACAATTGTGTGTGTTTTTCCTTTTAAATAGGAGGGAGTGGTTTAAAGGTTAGTGACAGTATAAATATCTCATTTCAAACATTTAATAGTAGCTATAGAACCTTCAACCTTTTTTTGGATAAGGAAAAAGTAAAAGAGTAGATATAGGTTACTTCAACCCATCTTGATTTGACTCATTCAGAATGTATCTTTAGCTCAACCATCTCAAATGGAAAGAGTAGACACCAAAAGGAGGGAGGTGACCTATTAGGCAGGACAGGAAGGCTCCTCAAACTTAGAAAATTCAAGGGAACCTCCAATATACACTCCACCCGTATACACAGTTACTTTAGAAGCAAAGAACTCATAAAAGCAACAAGTTCCATGGGGATTGAAGCGAAAAGTGAGAAGTAAAGCATGTGTTTCTTTGGAGTGAAGAGTATGATTTACGAAAAGTTAAAAAATATCAAGCATCAACGAATTTAGTACAACAAAAATTAGATTGCAATTAGAATAACTAATTTCAGCATTCAATATGCAGTACTGCCAATATTAATCCAGCTCAAAGTTGAGACACAATGGAATCATTATGTGCACCATTAGTTTAAAGTGCAAACTTCTCTAAGAAGTGGCGAAGCGATGACTTTTACTAGCACTACATATACTTATATAAGACATATGAGGAACGGAGCATATGTTGGGCTTATGCAACTGCATTCTATAGGCTTCCATGGGCATATTGGTGAGGCAATAATAATGCAGCAAAGAGTTTTAAATAACCTTGACATATCACAATCAATATTTTAAGGATCTTGATATATCTAACGAGGGGGGCAAAAGGAATGTAGGACAAGCATTCACCTGAACGATCCAAGTCGTGCTGTTGTGTATGTTGCTTGCCTAAGAAGACCAGCTGACAAACCCTGCTCAAAATAATGAAAAAATCCATAATTAAGGTCTGTGACAAATAAAGAGGTATACAACACATAAAGGTAACAACATGACTTATTAAAAGAATATAAGCAGGTAAAATTTCGATGTCCTGGCCCAAAAATGATGATGTCGTGTTAGATAACCCTCATACCAACACCTTACACCTGTCTTCAGTTACAGGCACATTAACAGTACTGACACCCATCTTGAGACAAGATAATTTACCATTTGAAAATTCAATTTATCTTGAAGCTTTGCTTCTCCATGTTTAACATTATCACAAGCTCTCCCAAAAGACTTCCAACTGAAACTACATCCCCATACAACAACTAGCCTCAATCCCAAGTAAGTTGGAGTCGACTATATATGAATCCTATTGACCACGTTGTTCCATTTAAGCTCATCTCGTACCAATGTTATACAAAATAAAATGTACTAGAAGTTCTCTATATTTTATTAGAGAATATAAATCTCTGAAAGCTCCTAGAACATACGACCAAAAGTACACTATCAACCAAGTGTTTTGTGAAAATAATCTACTTATACCTTGCTAGTATATATCCTTGCATTCATACTTGCATATCTATGGATATATGAAAAATCAAAGCCGACATGTTTCGAACACCGCAATACAGAACGGAGTCATGCACAGATGATACTTCTCAATATACTGACATCCTAGTTGCAACTGTACTAAAAGAATGACAATTGAGATAAGTCATATATTTTCAAGCATTAATGTTATAAATATCAATTGGTCAATTAGTAAAGACAATCCCATGGGACTTTTGTAGAGGAATATGTCATACAACTGTGAGAATACACGGGAGAAAAGTCTATTTTATTAACAATGATATAATGAGCCCTATATATAATACATATTTTACTCCTACTACATATGGGATTAGGACATATTCTACTCCTACTACATATGGGACTAGGACATATTCTACTCCTACTACATATGGGACTAGGGTTATTTACCCATAACTATCTAACACGCCTCCTCAAGCCGGTGCATACAAATCATATGTACCGAGCAAGTTACATATGCAACTAATACGAGGACTAGTGAGGGACTTGGTAAAATATCTACAATCTGATCATTCGATATATAAGGCCACTAGATTCCCCCTGAGCAACAAAACCAGGTGGTTGCTAATAAACAGAAGTTGGCCGAAAAGTTGTCAGAAAAATTTGAAAATAGTGAGACTAAGCCGAATTCCACACTACAAAATAGGTTATAAAACACCACCAGAATACAAACTTTTTCTAGAAATCACTATTCACGCCGGGAAATCATTGTTAATGCCGGAAGAAATAAAAGTTGTCAGAATTTGATGTAATTTATATGGGTAGGCTCCTAATCATTGGAGAGTAAGTTGTCCTGAAGAAATTTTGTCAAAAAATGGCCAGAATGGTTCACAGACACCGGAAAAGTTATTGTAGCTCGTTGTAACCCTAGTTCTGGAGGCATGTGAGGGACTTTCTGTCGGAGCAATTGATTGGGGTTTTGTCGCCTGACTTTTCCGAACAAGATGGTAGTGTTGGTTTTCGCACAATACTTACCGATGAGGAGATAACGCATCTTGAGTCGTCAACCGGAAAAACGCATGGTGACGGACTTTTCTATCCCGATGGGACTGGAATTTTTGAGGTTTGGTCGCACAAGGGTTTCAGATGTGATGGTGGTACTGGCATATGCACGGTAACACTGCAGCAGTGATGAACCCTGGGAACAAGACGAAGTTGTCGGAAAATTGCACGACGATGAGATCTTTCTTCCCGGATGTCGCTGGAATGACGCACGACGATAATTTTTTCACTGAAGCTCCGATACTATGTGAGAATACACGAGAGAAAAATCTATTTTATTAACAATGATATAGTGAGCCCTGTATATAATACATATTCTACTCCTACTACATATGGGATTAGGACATATTCTACTCATACTACATATGGAACTAGGACATATTCTACTCCTACTACATATGGGACTAGAACTATTTGCACATAACTATCTAACAACAACACTACACAAACTTCTCCAAAAGATATCACTAAAAATCGTGGCTGCTGAACTAGAAACTGATACAATATATTCATATCAATCTAGCAAGAAATTTGACATAGATTAAACAGATTAATAAAATATGGGAGTCAACTGACATAGTAAATTGTGGTACTCTGCACATGTTTAACCCCTGATCCATTTAATACACTGCATTACCTGTTAATGTGGAGTGCAATCAGATTATCTCTGTTACGCGCTAAAAGCAATAAATAGCGCACTAGAGGACACAAAACAAGTAAAAGCAAAAAGCTTTTGCATGCATATTTTCAAATTTCCTTTGCTTTGAATGTTTGAATTTTCAGTAGCATACGAAGTGGTAGCAATACAAAAGAGCATAAAGTCAAATAGATAAATTTGTTTTTGGTGGTGAAAATAGGTAAGCTTGTACCGTATCCAATTATTTTCAAAACTCATAAAATGACTTCTTGAGGATAACAAAATGTTTTTATCCATACCACAGCCACGTCTTTGTTACCTGAAAGAGGGAAAATCCAACTTATACCTAAGATGGATGAATAAAATACTCCCTATCTGTATGTTTTTCAATCTTACGAATTATTTTGTTTTGATAAGTGGATTCAACTTTAACAAAGTACAGCTATTATTCATCAAGGACAAAGTTAATCGTCTATACGTAAAACTCCAAGTGAACAAACCTTGTAAAATGCACCAAATCCCTCATTCTTAAGCATAGTCCTCGTGACTTCTCCAGCTGATCCCTGCCCTAATTGGATTCGTACCTGCCATCATAAGAAACAAATTCCATAAATATAAATGAAACCCATCATACTGGAATTGAAACAGTAACTTCACAATGGAAATAAGCGTCAAATTTTAATCTTTTCAAGGCTAAAGCTTGTGCATTTACTACAAAAGCACCTCAAATTTGAAATTTGTAGTCACCCCGTTCAATCCAAAATGTTTCCGAAAATACTTTCAATAGGAAAACAAAATCCGTAAATGTCAGGAAAATGACATCGGCTGTGGAAGTAGGGAAAACAAGTTCCATAAGTGGCACTCCACGCTAATTGTCTCCTCCCCACTCCAAAAACACTCTACCCCAAACTCCCAAATCCGAACCTGCCTCCGACCCACCTCGTCCCCAAACCCTCTCAAGCCCTCCCCATAGTGTTTGCATGAATTATATATAAATGCTCTTGCGACAATATTTTTGGTTAGTTACCAAATACAAGAAAATGCAAAAAACATTTTCCTTCGTACCAAACACATCCTTAGGCTCCAAAAAGACCCAAAGATAGCAAACTCAAAAGTGTAGACAACAATCAAAATGAGAAGAAAATAAAAGGAGAATTCCACAATATTCATTTTGATCCAAAAAATTCGACCCCAAAACTACTCAAAACAAAACCAAGGAGTTACAAAAGAACAATCTTTACAAACAAGTGGAGTATAATTGTAGAAAAAATGTGGGGTTAAATTTAAAAGAGTACCTTGATCATATCAATGGGCTGAATAACGCAGGTGGCAAGCATACCAGAAGCACCTCCATTAGCGAATGGCTTTACAGTGGGCCAAGCACCTGCGCTGCTCGTCGATTTCGCCTTGTCTCCCATTTTTCTACGAATCTTGTTTGAGTGGTGAAGCTCTCGAGGGTTTTTACAGAATGAAGCTTTCCAAAACGTAGGTGAGAAGTATTTATAAGTAGCCAATAGCAGAGTGTTACTTTGTGTGACAGAGTCCACACAGCCACCAAATTCTCTTTTGACACAAATTTAAAACAAAAGGAGAAGAAAAATCAAATTCCTCCTGGCCTCTCACGAGGTGGTGGTGTGTGTGTGACTACCTTAATTTGTCGCTTCCAAGTTGGCCCTTGATTTTTAGAAAATTACACCTTTTTTTTTTTTAATACATGCAAGCTCCCTTTCGAGTAGGGTCTATCGGAAATCGCTAGGGAATGTTTTAACATCGAACCGAAACCGTTAACCAAATCGAACTAATGGCTTATTGATATCGGATTATCAGGGTAATGAATGATGAACAGATTAAGATTTTATAATTAACGTGCTAATGGTTTGGGGGCGGATTACTCAATTTTTTTCAAATAAACCGTTAACCCGTTAAGAATTTCTATATTTATGCTTTTACCCCTATGTATATAAATTTGTTACTACATTGTTGCATAAGCAGTTGTGTATAGAATGATAGAACTGTATGTAACTAATGGCAGTCGTCTCTTGCTTCTCATGAATTATGAGCGGGCATGAATTGAATTTCTCTCTCGCCATTTTACTTAAGTGGTGTTTGTTTCATTACTTCACTTACAATTAGAGTTTGAAGTTTGTCTGTAAGTAGGATTTTCTAATTATTTTGTGGATAAAAATACTAATGATATTGATTGTTCAAAAACTAACAGAGACAGTTTGAACTATGCATTTCGTCATTTAGTATTGATTGTTCAATCTTTTTTTATCTGATTTAACCCATAAACTGCTCGATAATTGTTAATTCGACATCAATCCGCTTGTTGTTTTATTGGATGGCTAGCAGATTACTATATTTATAATTCGATAACCGATAAGGTGAATCGTTAAGCATAATTATCCGCCCGATAAGCACTCTTAGAAACAGCCTTTTCACCTGCATAAGTTAAAAATCAGACTGGTACTCTTTACCTATGTTATTATGGAGAAATTTAAAAATAGCCAGATTTACAACTGGTCGTTCAAAAATATCCCAGTTTCAAAAGTAATCGAAATTTAGCCATTTTTCATGTAAAGATAAATTTGAGCGAAAACACTGTTCAAAACTCGAAAAATACGCCAGTATATTGTACTGGAGTTCCAGCATAAGTATGCTTGAACTCCAGCATATTATACTGGAGTTCCAGGATAAGTATGCTGAAACTCCAGAATAATATGATGGAGTTCCGGCATAAGTACACTAGAACTCCAGCATAATAGACTGGAGTTCCAGCAAGTATAATTGTCAAGTATAATATACTGGAGTTTGGAGCATCGGTGCTTCAGTCTCTAGTATATTATACTGGAGTCAGCAAAGTATATCGATCCAGCATAATATGCTGGAGTTCATACACAGGTGCACCGAACTCCAGTATATTATGTTGGACCAGTCTTTGTTGCCGCAAAATAGTGGCTATTTTTTATTGACTTCGTAAACGCTGGCTATTTTTGAATGACCAGTCTGAAAACTGGTTATACCGTGCTATTTCGCCTGTTATTCTTGTATACTTTTGTGAATATAAAATAGAAATCTTTCGCTTTATTCTTGGTAGAATATCTTATTAATTCAGTGCAGACCAAAAAAATTATTTCTTATACTCGGTTATTTGACAATCTCGATTTCTGAGCAATCTCAGCTAATAGAAGTGAGAGCAACGTGGTCCATATGGTCTTTTTAAAAATAAAATATATATTTTGCAATTTTAAATTCATTAGATTTTTGAAAAATCTTTTTTGGGCCCAAATTTACACACACACCCAAAAAAAAACTGGCTTGATATATGTTAATTAAGCTAAAAGAATAAAAAAATTTACACAAAATAGGTACAAGTAACTTGAGTTAAAAACGAATAAAGTTTTTTGTACGGAAGAACAAAAACGATGATTAACCTGCAATTTGAACTTCGAACTTGCAGCTATGGAGAAAAATGGAATTTTCTTTATTTGCATAAAAAAAGGCTATTCGTTGCTTTTGGGAGATAGCAACAAACTAGCGGACAAGATAAGGAATTGGGAAAGACCATAAATTAGGACTTCTAGCAACAACAAAAATGTCTTGACTTTTAAATTTAATATTTCAATTCATTTTTAAATTTTTTGAATAATTATAAGTTAACTTTTGAGAATTTGGGTATTATATGAAGGACTTGTTCAGCAAAATTTGTTTTAATTTGAAAATGTCTCTTGGGCTTATGCCTCAATGCAAAAACGTGCATCAACGCCCGAGGCTTACGCCCTGAATTGCTAGGTGTATGCCTCTTAAGATTTTCACCCCACCATCACTTCGGAGCATTTTTGGTACGCATCGCCCGAGAGCCGCCGAAAGCGCATGGTAAGATACCGCTTCCAACTGATTAGCAACTATTTTTTATGTATATTGTAGTGGAGGTAAATTCGAAGGGTGCTAATGAGAATTCAGTCTTGAAACGTTTAAGATAACAACAACAACAACAACAACAACAACAACAACAACAACAACAACAACAACAACAACAACAACAACAA